CCACATTTCTACCTCTTTATGATCACTTCTGTTTCCATACATTAATTTCTGTTACCCAGGTTGTTTTTGCTCTGTGACTGTTACCATTATCATTATTGAAAATAGAAGCAAAGCATTTTTTTTTTGGGACCTTACTCAAAACATCCTTAATCTCAAGCACACCATCACTGTACACAGGTCTTGCCCTCTTACACAAAAAAATCCTAAGAACTTTTTACCATTTGACAGTCACTGTAAAGTCTAATTTAGCTTGGCATCTTTACAGTTTTATTTCTATTCCTACGTAGCATTCTCTCTGAATTTGCTTCCCAGTTCCCCAGTGCTTGCAGATTCTGCCATCTCTTACATGGTTATTCACTCAGATAAGCCTGAGCACTACATCTCCATTTTTTTCCTTTAAGGGCAGAAATTCCTCTTAATTCTATTATTTTTGTTTTTAATAACCTCCAGGCCTTTTTTCCATTCAAGCTCTGGGCTCCACAGTTTACCTTGTTTTATTAAACTAGTTCTATTTGTTTGTTCTGTTTGAAACCCAAAAGTGTACTCACAGAACCAAAAAACTGTTTATTCTTCTATTTCATCTGAATCTGATTATGAATATACAACATTATTGTTGAGACCCACATCTCTAATACTGCCTTCATCACTTAACAAAGCTGGTATCCAGACTTTCTGCTTCAGCAGCTACTTCATGAAGAAACCTTTCATGCAGAACATACAGGAATGTTTGGGCCCGCTCTTGTTAGCGGAACTTTTAATTTCCCAGCTATAAACTGGAGAGTAAGTCTCTGCACTTACACAGTTCTTAGTAGTAGTTCTCTAGAACAAATTACACTTCTAAATCCAAACCCAAGGACTTAAATTCCTAGATTACCTCAGTAGAATTAATTTACTAGCCTTCTCTTCCCCTAGAATTATTTTATTCCAAAGAAATTATTTTCAATCTGTGCTGTCCTTCTTTCCTTCCCTCTTATAATTTAATTACTATTTGGTGCTATTCTACCATTTGGCTTCCATTTTTATCATTCCTGAATAGGCATATGCTCTTACACCTGAATTCCAAACATATTTGCCATCCTACCATATTTCTGCTTTCTCTAAATTAGTTTCACATCTGTAAACCAATACTTCACACTCCTCTGTCATGGTGTCTATTGCCTAGCATTTATGCACAAATATTCCAGGTTTTCCTACTGACCACAGGAACTCCCCTGTTTGCAGGCGCCCAGCTCCTAATGACTGCTTGGCTTTGGAAAGCTTTGGTCCAAAGCAGTCTCGTATTTGGCATGCCCGTGTGCAGAGATACACTTGGACCCTCGCTCCTTGGCAAAGCGGTCTTTCTCACGGTCAGCTACATCACTCACACACACACTCTTCACAAACTACAGCCCAGTGAATAAAAAACAAACACAAAAATTCACCAGTCTGCTGTGAACTCTTATCAAAACCAAATCCCACAGTCTCTCCTGGCATGCAAAGCCTTATGCCTCAATCCCCGATTTTTTGGTTGCAGCCACCAGGTGTGCCACTCAGCCCACCCCCGTCCTTTGCCCATGAACTGTCACAAACAAGATGCGAAAATTCCCTGTGAGCCAACAAACAAGCATGTTTTTTTTCTCAGGGGCAGGACCCATTGAACACCCCTATTTGCGAACCGTACTCGTAAGTGCTAGCATTCAGTAAACAAACCTTTTGTCCTGAATCACTCACTCCAAACTAGATGTATCTGTAATTTGGTCTGCAGTCACTGAGCAGCAAGGCATTGTGGCAAAAAACTTTTTTTTCCCTCCCTGTCTACCAGACAAACATGCAATACTGTGCATGGTTTTGAACAATACTTTGCAATACGCTGTGGAGAATATCCAGTCAAGTTTATATCCAATATAATTTACAAGGTAACTATTTTGACCCACTGTTGTCACCTGCATTTCCTACACAGACCTAAACCGCAACAGAATTTAAGAGAAAAGCTACACTTTAAAAGGTTTTGTAGTCTCAGGGAAAACAAGGACCATATATGCTTCACCTACCAGAAAAGTTACGCATATTGAAGGCCAGGGATATTAATTGCAGCATTTACTGCTTCTAACTTAATTTTTTGGGGAAACCAAACCAACTGTCAATAGATTAGATGCCCACACCTCTGGCATAAAATTAAAACATTTTCATAATAAACAAAAGAGATGTTATCACATACACCTTCAGTTATCACCAGTATCTGAATTATATTACCTACATTACTAAAAAGTACATACTTTTAAAAAAAATAATCTGAATAGCTTGTGCCTACTATGCTTCATGCATAAGTAATACCATTTCTTTATGTAAAATTCTGTTTAGCCCAGCAGCATCACATCCCAACCCTCTCCCTCTTAAATTCACCGATGAGGTTTTTAGTGGTCTTATGACTCCAAACACGTCAATGTAGCTATTTGCTCCTTTTTTTTTAATTACACTTCTTCCACATATACAAGTTTTGTTACATGCACAAAAACATATCCATTCCACATTTTCAGCTGTCTTATCAGCAACAGTACTTAGTTGCCCCATAAAAGAAGCTGTCAAACAAGTCTGGATAGACTTTTTTTTCCTTTTTTTTTTTAAACATCAGGACATGCCACCCAGCTCTGGCTAGACCCCAGATAAAAAGAACGCCAATGTTCCAAATTCTGCAAAAGTATCTAATAAGGTGCTGAATCTACTGTTACTTTAGTTAAACCAAGTAACTTCTGGCTAAACATCACAGCCACATACATGACACTTCATATGCAACAATGACCTTCTTTTTGTTTCTGTAGAAGGTGATATAGCAAGTAGACCCATAACACCACACCAACTTCAAAACCAGCATGGCTGTAGCATGACTGCAAACTTTCCTAATTTACTAGCCAGGGAGCTCAGTCCTAGAGCTTGTCTTTGCTAGAAAACAGCTTGTCACAAGAGTGACACAGAACTGAGACTGCTAATCCTTTACAGGGATTAGAGGCAGTTTTGCCTCAACATGACAGCATGGAAGTCTACATGGTCTGACTACTTGGAAAAGCTCGAAGCAGCAGTAAGGCATTATTGCACTCTATCCCAGGTCCCTACATTATTGCACCCTACGTAAGGCCCACAGAAAGGTCTCTCCTCCACACTGCAGAGCCCACACCTACCTCATGGGCACTGCCGGGGGAGAAGTCCAGTTAGTCAGAGAAGTCAAAAGTCATGCTTATGGTAGGATCAGGTGATTTGCACTTTTAGGTGTAAACTTGAGTCTCCCCCACTGCCTTTAACCAAAATTACTAATGCTTATAAAAATACATACTGCTTTATCTTCAGAAGACTTTTTCATCAACTTAAGGAAACACCTATATTCAAATATATGTCATCAAGATATATAAATATATATCATCATCAATTACTACTATTGTCTGAAGACACAGACACTTCCATACAAATGTTACTTTTTGCATATTTTTTATGTCTCTCTCATATTCTCGTTTTCTGTAAATTTCTCCGTTTATAGAAAAAAAAATGCTTTTGGACAGCTGCTAAAAAGAAGAAAAAAAAAAAACCCACTCCCAAAACCACCTAGCCAGACCTAGTACTGGATGGATCCTGTGCAGCTGCTATCATCTTTAATGGGAAGTTGGATCCTACAATACCACAAACCACAGAATGTAAGGTTCTACCCTGAGCTCAGAACTTGGAAAAGGCATTAAGCCGGTCGTCCCTTTAAGGGACTAGAACCCACACTTCTTTACTCCTGCTATGCATTGAACAACTTTCTCCAAAGAAACAAAGGATGGAATTCTACAGAGTGCTTGAGGGTTCTTTGTAATACATTCTAGATATGTGTGTGTGTTTAAATCCAGCTCTTTCACTCTTCACTTTGCTATCCCAGGCTTTAGCAGTTTCTGAGGCTAGTACACAACACAGCTGACAGCAACAGCAGCAATATAGCACCCTTGGAGTGTTTGAAGTGTAAAGTTCATTAGTTCTACCTTAAGGTCACTCTTTTAATCCAACAGCCAAAACCTTATTCTCACTACCATGCTGTTATCCTGCAAAAAAAGAAAACTGCAAAAAAATCAAGACATCAGCTTAGATACTTCTTACAAGTGACAAGATCAGCACTAAAAATCCAAATCACAGTCAATACCTTTTAGCAAGTTTCAAGAAAGCAGCAAAACTATTCTTGACTGTGCTGTAAACCAAATGAAATTTAATAGAACAGATGAAGGAAATGAAGGAAGGAGAAGACAAACATTTCAATACCTGATAATTGTGGTTTATAATTATTAGTTGAACTTGGTTTACAAATAGAATTTACTAGAGCATCTGTTGGGAATTACAAGACATGCAAATAACTGAATTTTAACAACTTCTGTGTTTGTTTACTGATTTTTGTACATACAGTTTAAATTTTTACAAACTCAGTTTTGCATTATCCTCAGTGGATATTTGCACACTTATTAAAAAGTTATGTCAACAGAAGACTTCTGAAACACAAGGACTGTGTTTTAACAATTCCGAATCATATTTTAAAATAAGAGGTAATAAATAGCTTGTAAATTACTAGCTTGGTCGATCCTGCAAACTCATACATGTTTACTTACATGCAGTGTAAGAAGTTTTTAAAATTAAATGGGACACGCCTCTAAGATAAGTACGTTAGCATGTATAGATAAGGATGGCATTCTCTTTTTTAGGAAAGAATCTGAGAGACCCAACGCTTATTGGTAATTTTAGAAATAAGTAGCTTTTCTTCACCCCAAATACTCACGTTCTTAAGGGTGAGAATTTTCAGTCTTGTTTGTTCAGAACGGGCACAGCATTTCTTTCCAGTGCTATATTAGCAATCACCTCAAAATGAGCTCACAAATTAAGATCCTTACCTACAAGACTCAAATTATCACTTACATTCCCCAATTTACCGTTTTATATTTATATAGTTATACCATTCTCACACAAATGTTGTATTTCAACAAATATTAAATGAATTTTATTTTACTCACCTGCACACTAAGATGAATCCATTTCTTCACAAGAATTCTCCCCAGTGTCATTACTTTTATTGGTGGCTGCAAACCATTTACTGTGCGATAATAAAACATGGTCTCTTTCTCAGAGATTGTGAGTTTGAACACAGTCTGCCCATCAATAGCCTTTTCTATCACACACCTTTGGAAATAACCAAGAAAAACAACATAAGGTCAGAGGCACACACTCATACACATTCTTGCCAAGGTGTTATCCTGTAAAGTGATGCTAACCAGAATGTATTAAAATAAACGTTATTTTGAGAAGATGCTCAGTGACAGTGAAAATCACAGGATGTACTAAGTGTAAAAGAACTTTAACAAAGATATTTTCTGTCTTAATCTGTGAGGGTTTTTGTTGGGTTTGTTTTTTTTTTTTAATTTAGCGCCTGCAACCCCAGTTCACTTGGGAGTGGAAGAGGGGTCCACTTTGCCTCTCGTGCCTCCTCTCTTCAGGGTTCCACGACAGAAACCACAGTGTCTGGCCAGCACCACGCAGGGGTCTGCTGCACTTCTTGCACAAAGCTGTGCAACATAGTACATTCTGTGGAGGCACTTACATTTTTCTTAGTCTAACAAGGCAAAATGTAATACAACCACAAAAAGCAGTATGATTTACATGTTCCGGAAGTAAGTCTTCCATCCTTCCATGAAATCTGTCCAGGTAAGGTAGCAACAACATGCGCTTCCCCTACACTCTCCCTTTGACACAGCCTTTCCTTAACCTAAGAGAACCAAAGCAAAGCAAGAAGGCTATCCAGCCACTTGTTAGGTTTTTCCCCACAAAGATTTCACATCAATATGAAATGCAACACGAACGTATAAGGTACAAAGAATGCCACTCATAGCAACCCACGTCCCGTATCTAGCTGTTGAAATATTTTTACCAGTCCAATCACCGTGATGTCAAGGGCGCTGAGAAAGCATAGGCTGCATATGCTTGTGAAACAGCTATGTATTTCATTGAGGTACGCATCAGTACAACAAAAATTATGAAGTTCTGCATTCCCATTTCAGCTACTCGAGAAATGCAGTCCTCAATTTACTGACCCACGAAAAGTCAAATATTTTAACAGTTACATCAGACTATATTAGTGCACCAAATCACAAGAGAAAAGCATATGAAAGTTGTATGAGACCAGGATTTACTTAGACATGCTTCAGGAAAAAAAAAGAAAGCCCTTATCTACCAATAAGCATTTTCACCTTCTATGTATTTATAAAAGAAAAGTATCAAAAAGGCTGTTCTTTGATACTGCCATTATTCACTAATTCACCTTTAAATCCAAGAGAAAAATTAATTCATCTTAACTGTTACCACTTTAGCCTGCTGGAACGTTGTCAATAAAACAACTTGCAAAATGCAGAGTTCTGTTTTCCAAACCTTTACTAAAAACACATTTCTTAATATATTGTCAACTGGTCTTTTCAATATTTTGTTTGCTTGTAAACATGCTAGTTTTGCTAGATAATAAACGTGAGGGAAGGCTCAGCTAAGTAGCAAAATATTTAGGAACTGGATTTACCCAGTTCCTGGATAAACAATAATTGGATAATCCAGTTTTTTGTTTATTTTAGTTATCTAAAACAAACATCCCCACATTGTTTTTATCCCCAAAGGTGTCATGACTTTAAGAAGGGAAGTGACCTTGATGCACATCACTTTGAAAACTGGAGGAAAGAACAAATATGAATTGTGACTCACTACTGAAAGAGAAAACTCAAGAAGATGAAAACTGAGGCCGGGGGCAGGGTTGGGGGGACCCAAACTAGTGGTAGCGTAGGTGAAATGGGCACATGCATTACTTCTGACTCTGAGCACGACTTCCCATTTCAGCCATGATTATAGAGAGAAACCACTGTTCCCCGTGAAGTTTCCAACTTCTGGTAACCTGCAGTCCCACAGAACCAACTCCTGACTGCATAATTCTCTATGATGAGGTTGGAGGGAGAAAAAGCAAACCTGCTTGGTCAGCTTTCAAAGAGAAAAATATTCTAGAGAATCTAGCACTGCTCCACTGGTGACCCCCACACATTAACTGGAGCACTTGCAAATGGGAACATCTGCACAGGTTCAAAATCAGATGTGTGGTATCTTAAGGCAAATCCCCCTTTCAGTCTAATTCCTAATGTAAAACATCTGAATCAATATGAAGCAATAGGATATGACTTTAGTCTTTTAGATAAATAAAGTTAAAAAATACATCTACTGCCTACTTCGCAATTCCCTCGACCCGTTTGCATGTAAAAGGCCCCAGCTCATTTCTCTCCCACCACCAGTATCTTCTGGTCATCTAACTTCCAGTTAGCCCAGTTCATGCTAAATTGATATCAACTACCTGTAATGATTACTCATACATGATAAGCTTCTACTCATATTCTTATCCTATTCCATTGCAGAGGGTTATCACCATATACAATTTGCCATATTGTGCTAAGGCTCACTTACAGGCTACTCTGAAAGCATTCATACTAACTGATGAGTACATGCAGTAAGAGAGGAAGCATGGGGAAAGAATAAAATTCAGGGACAAGAGCTCTGTTCACTTATGGCACTTACTGCCTAAAGGGAAAGTACATTTAAAAAATGGAGGACAAATGTCAGTGTTTTCTCACTGTTCTCTAGCTTTTCAAGATTTCCAATATGCAGTGAGTTAATTGTATATATACAAATATTTAGAAGAACATTAGGGCTTCAAACAAATCCTGACTTTGTTCTTTGTATGAAAGTGTATTCCTTCCCAGATTCACATAAGAAAACTTGGTATATGAAATCAATGAAGAAAATTCTTGCTGTCTTTGATTATCCACATATATTTGCTCCCACAGAATGTCAAAATCTTTAAAGGGCCTTCAGACTTTGGACTCACATCAGTATCTCTCACTTCAGTCAGCACAGTAACTTCTAGCAGAAAAATCACGCTGTTCTCTTACATGGGCATATACCCAACAGAGAAATGTCACAGTCTTTACAAGGATGCAATGGGATACTATACAGCTGCTCTCCTATCTTCTTTCCTAAGTGCTCTCTAGCACACAGACCATATACCACTCAGCATGAAGAAACACACTAGTACGACATGTCCAAAAACCACGGGTCTGCTGCACTTGATGTAAGAGCACTTCTCCAGTAAACAAAGTACCTTGTTAAACTGTCAATTCTTCTACTGGTAAAATGAGCAGCTGGTTCTGGCCCATCTTGTGTTTTGGTGGCAGCACAAAGACTTTGTTAGAATGAGTCCGAGTTCTGTGAAGTCCCTCTGCTGTGACATTGTGCTTTAAAAGGTCTCACAAATGAGATCCAAGAGGGACAATTGCCCATCAAGGACTGCAAAATGTAGGACATCTGGTAAGTCAAACTCCTTCTGCCAACCTGAAGGACTCACTAAACCAATATAATAAAAGGAAAAAAAAAAAATCTTAGTTTGCTGATAAACTATTTCTTTTTTACAGGATGCCTTCTCAGTCGAGCTTCAGTCACTATTCGTGCGCAATTACTGTTTCACCACAACTGGAGCTCTGTATTCCTTTTACAAAGAAGAAAAAAAAAAAAAATTTTTTTTTTTTTTTTCACTGAAAAAAAAGTCTGGACAGTGGCATCATCATCCTGACCACTGGAATAACTGTTGTCCAACTTCAATTTTCAGGACTGGGCTCTACCACTGTCATTTCTACACGCTGAGTAGCAGCAACCTCACAAGGCCGAAGAATGAAGTGATCTATTACAAAATTTGAATAAAAACATTTAGATTTTAAAGTGATCTATAAAACCCACTGAACAGGAATATGTACATTGTGCAGTTATTAACACAGTAGCAACGGGAGGCTAATGTTTTATACCAGTGCATGGATAATCAGACATCAGTAGAGTCTGGTTTCTGCTCAGCACTTAATCATTTGAGATTAAAGACACACATTGCGTTGTTTTAGGCTCCATGCAAGCAAAAGCCTATCCCATTGACAAAAGTGTTTCATGGACCTCAACACATACTGCAACAGCTTGCTTGGAAATGAGTGGGACATTTCTGCTTCAAGTTAGGCACATGCTCTGCTGAGTAAGACTCTGATAGGCCTGTGTGTCTGTGGACATGAACTCGTGGCATAGGACAATCCCAGGAGTGGACTCTCTGGCATTCAAGATTCAAACATTCTATAAAGTGTTGTCTATAAAAGACACCAGGCCAAAGCTCCAAAGACACCTTTACACATACCTTCAGCTGAGCTAACTCAACTTAAGCTCAAACTAAAGTCACTTTTGCTCTGCAGATCTCATTTATTTCCCCTCCATAACCACAATTTCTAGAGCTACGTTGATTTTTCTAAAGGTAATTATCCTTGCATAAAGCAGACTATAATTTTACATATATCATTATAATTTTAGACACTTCTATTGTTTCTTATTATTTTCACACTCCTAAACAACTTACTATTTCACAGCAGCATGTAAAATAAGTATCAAGAATGCTACAACAGAGCAGATCATTAGTTTCATTCTAAGAACAACTTATGAGCACAAGTACAAAAATGTTTGTGACATATACTCTGAAGGAATGTACCACACTTTAAAAAGGATCTGCACAACCTGGGTAAGAAAGAGTAGGAGGCTCTGCATGACAGATGAAGAGAACTTTTTTGCAGGACTTGTGATGCATTTTTCAAAAAGCAAGTTTTTCACTATACTAAGGCCCAGTCAAGCTGAAGGGCCACTTATAAGAGAAATATTTGCTAAACATGTGACATTCAGGCAAATAAGAGAGGAAGCATGCTTAGCCACGTCTATTTTGTGAATACCTAGTGAAACTTCACTAGCAGTTTGAGCAGTGGAACTTTTTGTTAAAGTAGCAACATGATCTCTCATTCAGTCAACGTTCCCCAGATCTTCCAGAAAAACTATGACCACTCTTCTATAGCTCTGAAATATTAATTTTGGAAGATCTGGGGGTTTTCCTTTTTTAAGGAATAAAATTGTGTTGGGGGATTTCTAAAATTTTAGATAATTTTTTTCCATCATGAAAGGAGCAACAGCACAAACCCCTGACATTTTTCTAGCAGCTTTTAGAAGAATGAATGTGAATTAGAGAAACAAATTTAGATTTTTAAGAATAGGTACTCACATTATGTATGAATAGTTTCCACTGAAAGCAATTGGACTACCATCTGAGTCCATGCCACTGAAACTGAACCTACTTGTCTTGACATTTACGAAGACCCCAACCTAAATATGGCTTTAAAACGTCACAGTTTCTCACTGTACCTTTTTAAAATTTTAAATAGCTTGCTAATAATGACCATCACTACAATGATCAATTTTTTTAAGAGCACCAGGAAAGTAAACACCTTCAATACTACTTACATTACACCTTCTTGCTCAGGTTTCAACCATACAGTTAACGTAAATGAAGCTGCAAGCCTCTGAGAACGGGGAGTGGAGAAGCAATCCTTGTGATTATGAAAAATAAAACTGGAAGAGTTGCTGAAGGACCCTGGATGCAAGTCCCTTTTGTCCTCTGTGATACAGGTACCAAGGCCTTCTGAAAGAAGCAGTTTGTAGGAAGAAGGCGACGACCTGTATGGACATTCCTGAACACAAAACCTCTGGGTGCAGGACATAATACTTTCAACAGCTACTGAGCTATGACAAAAAGTACTTCGGCCTGGTAGCCCACAAGTGGCTTGAGTTGGCACAATTGACACATTCTTGAAAGCTCCCACATTTTCAAGCCTAGGGAAATGTCCCTGAGAGCTGACCAACACAAAGGAGTCATAGTAAGTTAAGATTAATGTTTCAATAGCATGAAACAAGAAACGACACCTCAAGGAAAGAGCCCAGCAATTCATGTTTACAAAAAAGCTCCTCCTGATTAAAGCATCTGTAAATAAATAATGATGTCCATGTCGGTAGCAATGTCCTCAGGTGGTACACTTTAAGAGTTTATGTAGCATTTCATCTTCAAAAAGCTCAAGCAAGGACTCAGTCGCAGGGGACATCTATGTCTTCTGGCTGGTGAAATGCACATGAGTGACAGACGGTACCTGCAAACCACAGAAAACAGACACACTCCGTGGAAGGCACGTGCCCTTTTGCACCAACAGGGGCGATGCCCCACTAGGGATTTTAAGGGTTGGAATTCTTCCTCCAAATTTCAGCCAGCAGGCCCATCTGCACACCTTTGCTGGCTATGGCCAGGTTGTCTCTCTAAATAAGGGCAACGGGACTAGGCCGACTCGAGCCCGCACATGCTTACGGCCGAGTAGAGTTTATCCCACATCTCTATGTCTCACGTCACGCAGGGCCGACGCTCAGCTTTGCAAGTTAAGGTAACACGTACGGAATACGGTGGCAAACCAGGGCATGCAACTTCAGCATCCCGACGTCTTTCCCGAGGGTTTCAGGCTAGTCGGTCGAATCTCGCATTTGCAATACCCCGGTGCTTACCTCAGCTTTACACTGCTATTGGGAGCCGCTCGGCGCCATCCCCACCGCGCTATTTCAGGGTGCGCTGGGGTTTCACCCCCTTGCCTCCACTCCCGAGGCCCGCTGGGTGCCAGCGAGCAGGGACGATGGCCTGAGCCCCCAGCCACGCATCTACCATCCCCTCAAGTGGACGGCCCGCTTCGTGCCTTACCCCGCTGCCCACCTCACGCTGCTCCTTTCAGCACTCGGCAAAGCTGATTAAAACCACATTCCCCATCTGTCCCGTGTGGATCTAACAGCCAACTCCTGCGCTGGGGCTCGCCGGCAGGCTGGGCAGGGGC